ACGGAGGGAATCAGGGAGCTTGAGTTTGATTGCAGTGGGATGTATTATTTCCTGGATGGTGAAGGGCCCTAGAAACCGAGGTGATAGTTTGGGGCATGCGCCTTTAATGGGGATATGAGCAGAGGAGAGCCACACTTGTTGCCCAACCTGATAAGCGGGATAAGCGGCCCGACGGCGGCGATCGGCCAGCCGTTTATTCTGGTCAGCTGTGTGTAGCAAGGCGGCCCTGGTCTCTGCCCAGACGGCCTGACAGCGGAAGATGTGAGCATGGACCAAGGGGACCGCAATGTCTGTTTCGGCAGAGGACAGTGGGGGAGGCTGGTAACCCAGGGAGGCCTGAAAGGGAGAGATACCAGTGGCAGAGCTAGAGAGTGTGTTATGAGCATATTCCACCCAGGGCAAAAACTGGCTCCAGTCCTCTGGTGAGGAACTGGTGACACGACGGAGGGCGTTTTCCAGCTCCTGGTTCAGCCGTTCAGCTTGGCCGTTGGTTTGGAAGTGACTAGGTGTAGTCAGCGGCCGAAGAAGACCTGCAGGGGACTGATGGAGCAGTTTGGCTTTGGCCCAGGGGGTACAGGCAGGACAACCTCAGGCCCTGTATTTTTCTCTACATGTTCTGGTCATAGTGCAGCAGCAGGAGGGAAAATATATGCACAGTACTAGGCACAGTCCAAAAAAATCTGCTTTTACAATGGCACCCTGAATGTTTTTTTTTTTAAACATAAGCTTTTTTGAAAATACACATAACAGTCAAGGTAATATAACATTTTGCCAATATGGTGGGGGAACCAGTGGATATCAGACAAGCTCACATGAACTCGCAATGGCCTGGATTTTATGCCCATTCAAGGAGATCCTTAATAACTTAATACTAACTTAATACTTTATTTTGTTAGAAAAAAGACTCACTTCTAAGATGCCCCAATCACCACTCTCTCTCTGTTGTAGATAAGTCCAAAAACAAAGAAAAGCATGCTGTGGGTCCTTTAAAGACACTCTATGCAATCGATGACCTCTCCTTGTGCGCTGATGAATTTGCAACTTTGTTCATTTATACATGCAATTATATTTTAGATACAGTTGCTCCTTTTAAATGTAAATCAAAGAAATTTAAAGCTGAGCCCTGGTGTAATAGTAATTATTTAAATAGTAATTGTCATAAACCAAGGGTTTTGTTTAATATTATAAACTTTATTAACCCGCGTGCTACTGTTCTGAGAGATGCAACTACAACAACTTGTGAGGTCTTAAATATTATATTGATAAAATCACTACTTCTAGGCTCCAAACCAACCCTGCTGATTTAATGAATACCTTGAACCAGGACTCAGCTATTTCTTTTACTTGCTTGGCTGTTCTTGATCAGTTTGAGCATGTATCTTTGTTAACTCTCAAAGAAGTAGTTTTAGGTATGAGATCAACACACTGCCCTTCAGATATTGTACCTACCCAGTGGTTCAAGGAGGTTTTAGATATAGTAGGGCCAAGTTTTCTTGTCTTTGTAAATAGTTGCCTTATCACAGGTACTGTTCTGGCTGCATTTACTGTAAGCATGCTATAGTCCAGTCCCGTCCTTAAAAAAACAGACCTTAGTTCTTCAATGTTGTCAAATTTTTGATGTATTTCTAAACTACCATTTCTCTCTAAGGTTTTAGTGTTACAGTTGCTTGCACACAAAGTGAGCGAGCGAGAAAAAAACGGACCCAGGTAGCTGGCTTCGGTGCAAACAGTGAGGTTTATTACCAAGTGCTGTACAGTGATATATATATATAGAGAGAGAGAGAGAGAGGGACAGGAGGGTTGTTGTGGGAGATGACCGGGTGTCGATCAGCCGGAGCAGAAACACAGTTACTGAGTGGAGGGGTGATGATGGGCCGCGCTGCCAACGTAGGAATCACTCCTGAGCTGGTCGAGGTGGAGGTGATGATGGCTGAGGACATAGGAGCATGGAAACAACAGGTTAGAGGAGACTGTGCATCGACCTGTGAGGCGGTGGCTGGAAGAGCTGAGTAAATCCAAAAGTCCAGAGGAGAGGTCCATAGAGGAGGAAAGCAGAGATGGTGGGGCAGGACAGAAACTAGAGTAACATATAGAAAGAACAATATGGGTCATGCCTGCACGTTGAGCAGTTTCAATGTACTCCTCCAGAGCCTGTCGTTCGGGTTTAGAGATTTGGAAGAGACGACTGTTGGGCAAGGTGGCTCCTGGGTACAGGTTGATAGCACAGTCGTAAGGTCTATGAGGGGGGAGAGTCCGTGGCCAGGTGTTTGTTGAACACCTGCTGGAGATCGGGGTAGTCTGAGGGAATGACAGATAGATCCACTGGCTCTGGTGGTATAGCAGGTGACGAGGGTGTGGGTTGTCCGGCGAGTAGGCAGGTCGAAGCACAGGCGGGGCTCCACTGGGTGCCAGTAGTCCAGTCCACAGTGGGGTTATGTTGGACCAGCCAGGAGTGACCCAAAACCAGTGGCGTGTCCGGAACAGAGAAAATGTTGAAGGTGATGTCCTCATGGTGGTTGCCGGCGATGGTGAGATGGAGTGGTGGAGTATGATAAGTGATGCGGGTCCGCAGCCGGCCGTCGATAGCCCGGGTCTCTATGGTGCGGGGCAAAGGTTCCGGTGTAAGGCCTAGTTGCTCC